TTTTCATCCATCTACTGGCAAAAATGTGGTCACTTTGTGAGACCAATCAGGGAAGCAGCATAGGTGAAAGCACCTTGCTTAGTGTCTGAGACACAGCAGGTGCCTAAGCAATTGAAATTCCTCAGGATTTGTGATAGGAACTGCCCAGGTGCTTCAGGAGCAAGTCTGGGTATTATGAGAATATGAAGGGAAGGCTTAGTCATCATGGAAAATTGTGGTAATCATTGGGAAAGTTCTCAAATATTCCAGTTCTCCTAGGCATATAGAAGACACTGCTTTATTCTTTTTGAAATTAAGTGTGGCCATGTGGTTAGCCTTGGCCAGTGGAATGTGAAAATGCCATGCACCATCTTGTGTGGAAACTTGTAGAACCAATGCTCTATTTGCCACATTTTTCTTTCTCAGACTTGGTGGTGGTGTCAAGATGGACTTTCTGTTGACCTGAGTCTCTGAGTGCCTGCAACAAGCAGAGACCCTGTGCTGACCCATTTCAAATATATAGCAGAAGTGATCCACTGAGATTTTGTTGTTGTTTGTTACTACAGAATAATTTAGCTTATCTTAACCAATATAGGAGTTATTAAATAAACTTCCTGATGGGGTATCCAAGACCCAAACTGCCATGTGATCTCCTGATGATCTTAACTCGAACCCTCTAGAGCTTGGAACTCCTACAGCTTCTCATTCCATGTTTATCTGAGGTTTTCATATGTGACATGTGAACAGTCACTGAACTAACAACAGAAATAAGAAATGGGGTAGAAAGGGCAATATCATACCCAAAAGATAAGATCAATTGTGCTGGAAGACTCAACAGGAACAGATATCGGGCTTGAAACTGTCAGAGACCTTTGAACCAGAGCAACTCCATCTTGATTAGGGGCTGGGTAAAATAAGGCTGAGACCTACTGGGCTGTATTCCCGGGAGGTTAGGCATTCTAAGTCACAGGAAGAAACAGGAAGTCAGCATGAGATACAGGTCATGAAGACCTTGTTGATAAAACAGGTTGCAGTAAAGAAGCCAGCCAAATCCCACCAAAAGCAAGATGGTGACAAGAGTGACTGCTGGTCATTCTCCTGCTCATTATGTGAGAATTATAATGCATTAGCATGCTAAAAGCTGCTTCTACCAGCACCATGACCATTTACAAGTGCTACGACAACATCGGGAAGTTAGCCTATATGTTCTGAAAGTGTGAGGAACCCTCAGTTCCGGGAATTGCCCACCCCTTTCCCAGAAAACTCATGAATAATCCACCCCCCCTTTTTTTTTAGCATATCATTAAGAAATAACCACAAAAATGGCCAACCAGCAGCTCATACTGCTGCTCTGTCTATGGAGGAGCCATTATTTTATTCCTTAACTTTCCTGATAAACTTGCTGTGGACTCGCCTAGAATTCTTTCTTGCACAAGAACCAAGAATCCTGTCTTGGGGTCTGGATCTGGACCCCTTTCCAGTAATAAAACCATGTATGAGAAGTTAAACTAAGAGGAATACAGCCTGGGATGAGTCCTGGGTGAGTCAAGGCAGTCAACAGCTAGGACACAGACACAAGTCCTAAAGTCCTCGAGAGTTAGGAAGGTGTGTGCTTCCATGTGGAGTTTACTGGACAAATTGGTATATGCCAGGTAAGGATGCTCCAACCCTCTTCCCCCTCAGAAGAGGAGCCTCTGGAAAGTAGCCGAAAGAAAAAAGAACAAATAGTACAACTGTAATGCTATGAGATACTTTAATATACATTGTCTAATTTACTCTCTCCCGATTTCTTTTGAGGAAGATCATTAATCATATTCTCCATCTTGGGCTGTTAAGTAAACTGTTCAAGTTCACATAGCTGAGAGCAGCCAAAATTCAAAGCCAAGTCTGTCTGATGCTCAACTTTCCGTTCTTTCCACTCTATCATGCCACAGAAAACCCATCCATGTGCAACCATTTCTTTAACAGTGGTTGGACGCAACTGAATATAATTTCTTCCAATTCATTCAGAGACACAGAATTTTCCCTAACCTAGCTCTACCTAGATAATCCCAACTATTATAACGTGATTATACTGCAAGCATCGTGAGCAGTTCAACATAGCATCTGGTTTCCAACTGTTCTCAAGAGGCAATTGAGTTCAAGAACTGGAGGAGGAAGTAAGAGAGAGAACAATCACCCTGCTACTTCCCACTTCTCCTATTTAGCTTAGCATTTGGCAGAGGCATCATCCAGGTTAAATGTACCCCTACATGATGAAAAGGATATGACAAGAAAAGACTTTTATCCTCTGCATAAATAGAACATGCATAACAGCATTGCCCAACAAAAGGTGGCTTCTGATGGATATTTGCATGAGTTTGCCACACTTGTTTTGCATCCAACCGTTAATTATGGTCCTTTCAGCTTCACAATTATGGCTAATGGTGGTGAGGATGCAGAGAACAGTAGATTCAGCAGACCTCATTCTAGGAAGAGTGTGAAAGAAACAATGCGAAACTGCACCCACCCGCTGTTTACAACTGAGACAGCTACCCTGGGTACCATTTGGAGGATTTGGAGGAAATCAAGGCTGCCCAGGAAGCCTGGAGCTTGGGAAATGAGACATCTGGGGAAAAAAAATCTTGCTACTAGGATGGAGAAAAAAGGTCCTTTAGGACTCTTCTGTCTATGGTGAAAATGGTTCAAACCACATCTCTCATTCTACACTGAATGGAAATTCAGACTGTACTGACACCTACTTGGTGCTTTTCATTATTCAAGATCCTTTTCTTATTTAATCCTCAAAAAGACTGTGCAAAGTATATATTACTATTTCAAAGTGAGGAAACAGACTCACAGACAACAAGAAACAGTTCATACTCTCATTCTTTCATTAATCCACCGAATGATTATTAGGTGTCTATTATGTGTTAAATATTACACTCAGCATGTAGGATATAGCAGTCAAAAAAACAAAAAAACCCAAACAAACCAACCACAATTCATCACTCTTGGAGCTCTCAGCATGCTGTTGGAGGCATGCAGTACCCAACAACATGTGCAAATAAAAATATGTATCTAGTGTAATATAGAAAAATAGTGGGTTAACATATGAGTGAGTGCTGGTGGGTGGTTCTCAGGTAATATGGTTGGACTGTTCTCTGGAGATGTGAGATTGAAACTCAGGTCTGAAAAATGAGAAAAAACCAGTTCTGCAAACAATGAATAAAAGAGAGATGTAGGTAAAATGCACCCTGAATTAAGGCCCCAAAGTGAAAACATGTTGGAATGTTCGAGAAATAATGTCTTAGGAAAGGTTCAAGACAGGAGGCTTAGTTAAAATCTAGCAGGCATGTCTGAACCATATGTGAAGAACAGTGATAGGTTGTGGGCAACTGTTTTTGAGGAGAACTTGGAGGGGAAAAGGAGCCTATCAGAGAAAAGGGTGAGTAGGATGAAGGATATCCAGAAATTATGCCATGTGAAAAATAAAAGAAGTAATAGCATGTTAGTTATCAATGAGAAATAACTTGAATGGCCAGAGGAAGATAGTTGGCACTGCCTTATTTTCTCTGAAAGGCTAACACAGGAAAGAAAGTTTTGATTTGTTCAAATCAATACAAGTGGCTACAAGGGGAGAGTCAAGGAGACAGAATTTGGCTTTATATGGGAAAAAAAGTTTTAATAATTTTACCTGCTCCACAAAGGAATTAACTCCCTTTCACTCCAGCAATTTGCACTGATCAAGCTGAAGCAATATAATGTGTTGCTAAGGATGCTTTATTGGAGATTTTTGTTTTGGCTTCCGGTCTAGACTAGATGACACTTCAAAGTCCATCCTACTCTATGATGCTATAGTTCTATAATATTGCTGTATCCAAAACAAATGGTTACAACATGGTCTAATTCATAAGAGACAGGTGTTGTGAATTAGGCACCAAAGACAGTGTGCCAGGACAAATGGGACTACTCTTGTTATCTGTAAGAAAGCATCCATGGGTAAATGTGAGATTACTAATTGGAACAAAATTCCCAATGCAAGTGCCTGTGAACAACTCATGCTTCATGAAAATGCCTGCAAGAACTCTGAGCACCATGTCTTATAAGGCACGCCACACTTGAACTCTGCATGGTATTCACATGGCTGGATTAAAATACTCCACATTCACAGATCAACAAAGAGTCTACAAAATGTGTTTATCCTCATGCTAATAATAGTAAACATTTAATGACTGACCTCCACATTCCTAATGTGAAACCTAAGGATTCATTATTTGATACATTATTTCACTTATTTATTTTTGTTCTTTCCCCCACTGGAATGAAAACACCATGAGATCAGGGATCTTTGCTTGACTCACTGCTGCATTCTCAGCACTCAGAAAAAAGCCTTTTTTGACATATTGCATGTGCTTGACAGATGTTTCCTTAATTAATCCATCATATCTAATTATTTTAGTAGTTTACTGAAAGTCACACAGCTACTAGGGTTTTGTACCTAGGCAGTTTGATAGTAAAGGTTGAATTCATAGCCACTCTGTTAAGCTGACAAACCATCCTTAATATCCGTAGAACAAAGATGTCCAGACCTCAGAATTCTCCTATGCCGCCGTGACTAAAACTTGCAGGTAGAGTAGGGAGCAATAAAATTTGTTCACAGTAAATTATTCCACCTGGCTCACAACCATCCCGCAACAAATGCCCATTACTGCTTTCCTTTCACTTGAGTTTAATATAACTCTATGTCATCCTTTGTCTCTAATCTTTTAGTGATGCAAATATGGGTAATTCTGATTTTTTTTTTTTTTGACCTAAGCTGTTTTTTTTTTTCTTTCACAATGGAACAAAACAACACTTTCCCCTCCACCCCCATATCAAATCTAGTGCTTTCATCTTCTGGCTTTTTTTTAGTTCTGATTTTCATGTTTACTTATAGTTTTCTTAATTTTCTCCATTTTTATTTGTTGACTGTTGTTTCTCAACTTTTTAAGTATAGATTGGAGAGCTGACTTTGTTTAAAAGAACTATACTTTTTAGAGCTGCTTGGAGAGCGAAGCTGGAAAGACGTGGGGGTGCTTATCCCTGCGTGGAAACGCTTGCCAATGCTTTCTCATTTGGACCCAGACTCCAGATCGGGAGCAGTCTTATAGCTGAATCAGCTACCAAGAGAAGCTCTAAAGCAAGAAGAGAAAAGCACTTCAATTTGGGACATTTATTTGCACCTGGAAATGGGGAATGGGCTATCAGACCAGACTTCTATCCTGTCCAACCTGCCTTCATTTCAGTCCTTCCACATTGTTATTCTGGGTTTGGACTGTGCTGGAAAGACAACTGTCTTATACAGGCTGCAGTTCAATGAATTTGTAAATACCGTACCTACCAAAGGATTTAACACTGAGAAAATTAAGGTAACCTTGGGAAAATCTAAAACAGTCACGTTTCACTTCTGGGATGTAGGTGGTCAGGAGAAGTTAAGGCCACTGTGGAAGTCATATACGAGATGCACAGATGGCATTGTATTTGTTGTGGACTCTGTTGATGTCAAAAGGATGGAGGAAGCCAAAACTGAACTTCACAAAATAACTAGGATATCAGAAAATCAAGGAGTCCCTGTACTTATAGTTGCTAACAAACAAGACTTGAGGAACTCATTGTCTCTTTCAGAAATTGAGAAATTGTTAGCAATGGGTGAACTGAGCTCATCAACTCCTTGGCAATTGCAGCCTACCTGTGCAATCATAGGAGATGGCCTAAAGGAAGGACTTGAGAAACTACATGATATGATCATTAAAAGAAGAAAAATGTTGTGGCAACAGAAAAAGAAAAGATGAATATCAATACCTATTATATCTGTGTGGAGTAGGTTTTCTCTGGTCTGATTTTGACAAATAGAAGAGTGTCTACAACCTGGTTTGCCTGTCTGCCCTCCTGGATGCTATTAAAGCTTTGTTTTGTTGAACAAAAAAAAAAAAAAAAAAAAAAAAAGAACTATACTTTTAATGTTCTCAGTATCAGAAATAAAACAGTAATTATATATTCCCTCTTGTCTGACATGAGAAAATGAACAGATTTTTATTTACATTCATCCATCTTCCAACTTTGTCTGTTTTTGTTGACAAAATAGTGAATTATAGATCCAGATAGATTAGAAATGTTAATTTTTTACATTATGCATCTTTGCCTTAAATAGTTACGTTTTACATTAACCTTCCATTTTGTAACACATTTAGAGCCATTACTGAGCATTAATGCTATATTTAATTAGTTTTATGCTCACTGTGGGTCTTCTTATTCCACATTTCTCAATTCTTGATTTCTTTATTTTGACTCATTGCTCAATCAATTGCTCTGTGATTTATTAGGAGCAGGGAACGTGGGAGCCACTGGATACTAAGAATGTCTTTCTGATGTATTTGCACAAGAACAACAACTTGGCTGATAAGGAATTTGTGGATTATAACACTTTCTCCTCAAAAATCCTCCAGGCTTAACATCATTGTCTGCTGCCCTTTATGATATGGAAAAATCTGAGAGGGACCAGGCAGAGATTTGTTAGACTGAGAATGGCTGTTCTGCTTCAATGACCCTTTCACCCAACTCTTTTCAGTAAAATTTAATACTAAAGACAGTCATTTGAAATAGTGTGTAGTTCTTCCTTTGCCAGAAAAATACAGCCTTCTGAGTGCCCAGCTCCCGCTACTCTTCCCCACTCTGTTCCTGTGAGGTCAGCTGCACCCGCAAGACATGTGGCATAAGAACTCATCCAATTCCATTCCTGCCTGCATTTCGTTACTGGGAATCTTAGTTCCAAAGCAAGTGTACATATGCCTGGTGTGGAATAGAAGGCACAGGTAATTAAATGGCCTTGTTCATCTCCGAAGCAGTGTCAAAACTGCTTCTTAGATGAGGCAGTTTCAGAGTGAGATACTTTTTTTTTCTCTATGGCAAATCCCTGTGTCTTGAAGAGGGAGGTCTCTGATAGGATGTTTGGGGAGCAAACTGTCGGAGGCATTTGAACCTGAGCAACTGCATCTTAAATAGGACCTAGGTAAAATGAGGCTGAGACCTACTAGACTGCATTCCCAGATGGTTAAGGCGTTCTAACTCACAGGATGAGCTAGGAAGTCAGTACAAGATACAGGCCATAAAGACCTTGCTGATAAAAACAGCTTGCAGTAAAGAAGCTTGCCAAAACTATAGACAAAAACAGCTGATAAAAACAGTTTGCAGTAAAGAACCCACCAAAACTAAGATGGCCATGAGAGTGACGTCTGGTAGACCTCACTGCTACACTCCCACCACCATCAGGACAGTTAACAAATGCCATGGCAATGTCAGGAAGTTACCCTATATGGTCTAAAAAGGGGAGGTATGAATAATCCACCCCTTGTTTAGCATACCAAGGAATAGCCATAAAAATGGACAACGAGCAGCCCTCAGGGATGCTCTATGAAATAGCCATTCTTTTGCTCCTTTACTTTCTTAATAAACTTGCTTTCACTTTACTGTATGGACTTGCCCTGAATTCTTTCTCACACAAGATCCAAGAACCCTCTCTTGGAGTCTGGATCAGGACCCCTTTCCTGTAACAAAACCTCTGTGGTTGGCGCAGGGCCAACCACTCTTATGGTGGGGACATTCCTTCTGATATGCATTTGCTAGTTTCTTGGGTTCTATAAGCATGCTCTATTTTTAGGTTTTTTGAGTATCTTAGTGGGAAGAATAAAGTAAAACTACTTCTTTCCCTTCTCATCATGGAAACTCAACCGTACCTTTTGATATGTGACAAGAGCAGGGAAGGCCACACCTTCTTAGAGGGTTGTGCTGAACTGATACACCGGCCAGCATGGGATGCTGAGAACCGAGAACAAGAGGAGCCCCAGATGCTTCTGCCAATTTTTATGTCTTCCCGCTCAATACATCAGAGTGCTTCATGCAGTGGGAAGACCAGATGGACAGGTGGAAGGCAGTCTGGCAGCTTCTCTTTGTAGTCTTATGCTCTCTGTGAGGAGTGTTGCTTGAACCAGTAATAAATGCAGAACTGAAATACCACAGTGGAATTTAAATGGGTGTGTGGACATTCTAAATGTTAATTAGTTCCTCAATCCAGGTTTCTCACCAAGCACTGACTGCCATTGACAGATTAAACTCTCCATCTTGGCCACCCAGAGCCTGCACAGGCTGTTCCCACACACTTCACCAAATCTTGCTTCTGTCTCAGGCTTCCCTTCTCCAGCAAGCTTCTCATTTCTCCATGTTATACAATGCATAACGAGGCACATGACAGACTCCCTTACATTTCTATAAGCTCTTAGAGGGCACATACCACATAACCCTAATATGAACTATAGGGTTTAGCATTTGTCAGTGTTCGTTAGATGTTTGTTAAAAGAAATATGACCACATTGAGGCCAGGTGTGGTGGCTCACGCCTGTAATCCCAACGCTTTGGGAGGCTGAGGTGGGCAGAACATGAGGTCAGGAGATCAAGACCATCCTGGCTAACACGGTAAAACCCTGTCTTACCAAAAATATAAAAAAATTAGCCGGGTGTGGTGGTGGGCACCTATAGTACCAGCTACTCGGGAGGCTGAGGCAGGAGAATGGTGTGAACCCAGGAGATGGAGCTTGCAGTGAGCCAAGATCGCGCCACTGCACTCCAGCCTGCCAGCCTAGGCGACAGAGTGAGACTCTGTCTCAAAAAAAAAAAAAAAAAGAAAAGAAAAGAAAAGAAATATGACCACCTGGATGGAAAATACAAGCTTGTGTAATAAAAGAGGCTAAAGATATTTAGCTTGCAGAAAAGACAATCATATGGGCACGTTTGTATAGAGAAGAAAAGGGTATTAGAAAAGATCTTATGTAACTGAAAGACTATAAACCAAGAAGGTGGTTGCACTGGTTTTGTAGGATGCTAAGAGCGTGAATCAAGAACAATGGGTAGAAACTTCAATAGGAAATATTTCAGTAAGTACACTAAAAAGCCTCCTTAGAGACACAGCCCACTCCCTACTCCAGAAAACACTAAAGCTACCTCAGAGATAAATGAGTTCTCTGTCATTTGAGGTATTCAAGAATAAGCACTAATGCCAGTTAACTGGTGTTATAGTATGGATAGAACCATTGTTTTGTGTGTGTTTGGGATTGTTGAATGACCTTTGATATCCTTTCCAGCCCTGTGATTTTCTGATATTATGACTGGTGCCAATCCTTGACCAAAGAAATATTTGACACAAAAATGATTACCTTGTCTTTGGAGAAACACTATTTTCTAATGTGACCAATGGCAATGACAAAGGGGGTATTAATCACTGATCAATTAAACCATGCTTAGTGCATTCCTAGATAACAAATTGACAGATATTATTATTATATATGAAGAAATTAAGGCTCAGAGAGGTCATGCTATATCCTCAAGTAAAGCACTATCTCTATACTCTAATATAGGAGTGTGCAAAGGTTTTTTGTAAAAAGCCATATAATAAATATCCTAGGCTTTGTGGGGCATATAAACTGTGTTACAACCAACTTTACTGTTAAGCATCAAAACAGCCATAGACAGTATGTAAATGAACAGGCATAGCTGTATTTTTTTTTTTTTTTAAATTAAAGGCATGAGGTTGGATTTGGCCTAGGGGCCTTAGTTTTTCAGTCTCCGTTTAGAGCCCTGCTGACTTATCATACGAGAATGAGAAAATGCAAACAAGATAAGGAATGGCCTCCATGTGGCCATACTTACTCCATTGGCTTTGCTGAGTGCCTGGAAGTAGATGCTGTAGCTTTTCAGGGGAGAGAGAGGAGGGTTCCAGTAGCCATTGTATGTCTTATTGTCACCCACTGTAAATGGCTGGGTGACAGGCAGGTTGGCAGGCTTCAACTCAGCAGCAAAGTAGTGTAGAGAATCGAGGCTGGAGGCATTCCGATAGCTCACAGGCACCGAAAAGCACTCAATAATGTCAGCTGCCCTCCGTGACTTCTGTGGTCGCTCCTCCTTGACAACCAGCTGATAAACACTGGACCGGAAAGAGGGGACACAGACGGATGAGCAACTCTCTGGAAGAATGAGCTTGTTAGCTCTAACGGTGTCAACCCAACTTCTCCTGTATGGAAACACTACTTCCTTCTACAACAAAACTTTTGTCCTGAGCATCAGATTTTCAAACCTACCACGTTGTAGAACTTTACCTCCACTTAGCTGTCTCAAAGCCAGCTCACACTAGACACATCTAAAACTCAACTCAGCCCTAACCCCTAGAAACCTGTCTGCTCCTCCTTTTACATGTCTTTTCTTAGTAAATGGTAGCACCATCTGACAAGTGGCCAGAACCTGAATCTAGGGCTCATCCTCAGTTCTTAACTCGTTAATTCTCACTCCTTATCTTAATCAACAGTCTTACGGAAGTCTGTTGATTTGGCTTCTGTATGTTTGCATCTGCCCCACTTCTGTTTTCTCCTTCCACTGATAATGCCTTAGTTGGGCACTTTCCCACTTCTTACCCAGATTCAACTAGTCTCTTTGCCTCTAATGCACTTGATTTATTAATCAGTCATCCTAATCATATGGCTTCCTAATCATATAGCTCTTCAAACACTTTCATAGGCCTTCCATTGTACAAATTATACAATCTAAACTCCTCATCTTGGCATTTGAAGCCCTCTGTGCCTGTCTTCTGTCTTCCATTTAGGTGTTCTCATGGTGTTCCCATCTTCTAGCTACTCCAGATCCCATGCTATTGCACAGATGTATTTTGGATCTCACCTCATGCATTACTGACTTATGCTTCCTCTACCTGCAATGCCCTGCATCCTGGCCACCTCTGGTTTCCTCCAAAGGCTGAGCATGTCTTTCACTTCCTCTATGAAGCCTGTCCAGATATGTCCAGTCTGGATCAATCACCTCCCTCTTTAGTTCCCCTACAGCTCACCTAATCTCCATCTGCTTTGTTTTCCAATATCATGAGATGGGACTACTCTTGCACTGGCTAGACTGTGACCTTTTACGAAGTAGGCATTGTGGCTTACTTATCACTGCATCATTCTCCACCCCTGCCCCACACTGCCCAGCAGGATGCCTGCCACCCAACAAGTGATCAATGAATGCTTGTTCAAATGAATTAAATTGGATTGAATTAAAACTGGAAGCAAACATGAAACCAAATCTTCCTGGATGCAGAAACCCTAATCAGATAAACAGCGATTGCCTTGAGTTCCTGTCTAGTGATCGCATATTGTTCCCTTCAACTTAGGAGGATGTAAGAAGATGCTAGTGTGTGAATAGAGATGACTGATCCTTTATTGAATATCAACTGACACCCAGTGTTAGACTCTCTTTGTAAAAGTTATTTTAAGGTTAGTAAGTTGGATAACATTGTTCAATCTCTTTGAATGCCCCACAGTTTACATCTCTCTGGAATAAATGCTCTTCTTTTAGAAGAGCTTTATTGCACGGATCTCTGGGACTCATGATCTAAAACAAAAGATCGATTGCCCATGAGTCCCACTGGAGACTTCTGTGAATTAATGAGGTGGTTGCAGTAGGGGGCCCCAAACCAATCATTTAAACAGGGCATAGTGAACCAGCACGTGGTTTACGAAAAATGAAACGTGTTGCAGGCTACCATCCTTCAATCAGACCATCCATCTAAAGACACTTGACTAAGGAGTACAACTTGGGAGATGACAGAGACACAGGACTATTTCATTAAGGAAAAAAAGGCTATGGAGGACTGCCCTAAGAAAATGTGACACACTCAATATGGCAAGGTTTCTCTTGAATTTTCTTGAGTATGGAAATTTTCAGGCATGTGAAAAGGAAGGGTTGGGCATATGAGTATATGCCACACTTAGATGAGTGCAGGCAAAATAGCTCAATTACCATGCCTGTTGTACATACACATCTGAGTAAGAACCTGACAATTCAGAGTGCATGTGAGTGACATGTGAGTGGAGTGGATGTGGACAATCTCTCAAGGCATGCACAGTACATCTGAGGGTGTACCATTTCCAAGTGAGGATCTGTATTACCTGGGCGTCTAACTCCAAATGAGTGAATATAACATTTAGATGAATGGATGAATGTGGTTAACCTGAGTGTTTAGACTTCTAAATAAGGGTGTGTAACATCTGAGAATGTTTTAACCACCCAAAGTGTGTGTGGATATGTACCATCTATGCCATAATGCCTGTTGAAGTCAATAAATGTTTAAATTAAATTATGATTTCAGCAATCACTTCCTCCTCAACTCTGGGGTCCTTCTCAATTGTACAATTCCTATGTTTATCAGGACAGCTAAGCTCAAAGCAGTCACTGAAAAATAGCACAAGGACCTAATACCCAAACCTAGAGGTTGCAGGGCAGAAGTGGAGGGGTGTTTGTAACAGAGTTTTCAGGACCTGCAATGCTTTATAAATGACAATATATTGAGGTAAATCTTAGAATCTGGCTTGAATGCTAATAGTAGCTCGACCAGTTGAGAGTCCATTACTCGTGGGACTCTGATCTGTGAGGGAAAGGGCAAACACAAGAGAGCTTCATGAAGCAGACAACCTCTTGGGCTCTCCTGATGAAGCTAACAACAGCACCTAAGAACACTGCATTGGATTTGGGAGCAGGCAACCAACGCAGCCCTCATAGCCTCTTGGGCAGATTAGAAGGAACCAACAGCCTCATCCCCAGGACCAGGAGTTGGAAAGAGCTGGGAGTCCCTGCTTTCCTCTGAGGGCCAGCCTATCCCTACTCACCATTTGGATTGATCATATCTACATAACAAGGCCTTTATCTTGGTTTCTCAGATAGACTTCCCATTCTACCTTAAATCCTTCTGTTAACCTTCTCCTCTAAATTGAGACCCCCTGAAGCCTTGGGAGCTTCCCTGGGACTGAATCGCCCTCCGAGAATCACTTCCTATTGCCTCTGGCCCTCCTGTGATGGGATGGATCAAGAGGGGCCACATGGCTGGCCTCATTTACTGTCCACGACTAGCAGAAGATTCCATAGTTGTGGCCAAGCAAGAAGACGGGTTCTTACTGGGCTCTGAAAATTCAAATGCTGCCAAGATCTATTAGACAGAGCCATAATATCTCTGTGAGGGTCAGCCTGTATCTCCCCATCAGCTCTTTCTCCCCACCAATCTGATTACTGAAGATCCACTTGTCAATTCAACCAAGGTCAACAGCCAGATTACACATGAGGAGCTGAGGCTGAGAGGTCAAGTGATTCATGAGGTCAAACTGCAGCAAAAGTAGAAACTCAGACTTTTCATTCATAGTTGAGTAACCTTTCTTTTTTTTTCTTCTTCTTTTTTTTTTTTTTTTGCTATTTTCTTCTCTTCCTACAAACCAATAAAATGTATAAAGGCCTTCCAAGCATTTTTTTCTAACTTGGCATCCCAAACTGCTTAGCTCTACCCCAACCAACTCCATATGAAATTACAAAGAATAGCAAAGGGTATTTTTTTGGTTTAAACTGTGCAGTCAACATATGGTTCACATACGATTGTGATTATTGTGCCAAAATATACCCAGCAACTCCTTCGGGCCCATGCATTCGCAGCCTGTCCATTCAAAAGCAAACCTGCAATGCAGCCAGAAAAACTTAAATCATTTTGTTAGATAAATCTGTTTGCCAATGGATCCAGCCTCTCTCAAAGACCACAGAACTCTGATTGAAGAGGGGTAGAAGAAACAGTGCCCACAAGTTGTATAACCTTCCTTTCCTGACACTTTTTAGGAAAGGGTGGGGGAAAGAAACAACAAACTGAGTATTATTTTTATTTCTTGTAGTAGCTTCATTCTCATTCTCTTGAGAATACATTTATCTAAGAGCATGTTCTTTTCAGCTTGCTGGTAACGATAAAATCATATCCAAATGCGAATGACCTCCCTTTTGGGGTCATATCTCTAGCTCAAAAACAGTGGTTGCAATAAACTATTCAGAATCATTTTTAAAGAGAGGGGATTTTTTCAGTAGGAAAAATCCCAATAACATGAGAAAAAAACAACTTAAGACACTCACTGCACAACACATAGCATTTACTCATACACTTTCTCCTCTTGTGATACCCTCTCTCTTTCTCCTAATGAGAAGATGGGCATTTATGACTTTTTTTCCCATTACTTATCCCAAGGATCTCTTATTGCAAGGATCTAAGAGCTATACTGTGCCCCCAACTCATTTCATTCACTCTAAGGTGATTTCTGTAAGGTCAAGGAGAGTTTGTACTGTCACTTTCAGTATCTCCTGCTGTCCATCCAAGGCAAAAACCCTCAGAACCTTTCTACAGGCTCTGGAAAACCCTGCTGCTGGACCTTCTTCCTCCCTCTGGTCCCTAAGCTAATGGTTTAAATGGTGGCTTGAGATTCTTGGACCAGATTCCACTGAGGGGGCCCAGGGACCTATCAGAGCATCCTTCCATTAGTAACAGTTCCTGTGGCCCTCTTTCTAGATCTAGAGAAGTCTCTAGCCAGGAGCTGTGTCCTCTCAGAAGGTTGGAGTCAGATGACAGAGAGAGTAGATGCTCTAGCTCACAGGTAGAGCTTGCCCAACTTCAGAAAGATGCATATTTTAGTCCACTTTCTCCCAGAATGAAGCATGTCTGAGTTCACGTTCTTCCAGAAACAGACCCCGAGCCAAGGTTTCACTGCAAATGATGGATTGAGGAAGTAGTCCCAGAAGAAACTAGTAAAGGAGTGAGAGAAAATGGGAGGAAGTGAAGCAAGGGTATGATATCAGGCAAAGTCCCAGTCTTAGCCTGATCCCATAGGGAGCTCTGGAGCATAAATTATACCCCCAGAGTTTGTCTCATCTCAAACCACAGGCTTTTGAACCTCCAGTGCTGGTCAGTGATTGGTTATGGCTGAGTCAGAGAGACATAAACTCTAAGGCACTCCTAACTCTGTGTGAGGAGGGTCAGACAAGGCAGCTCTGGCATCTTAATGGCAACATCCCACAGCAGGTCACACCTGGAAACCATTTACATCAAGGCACATGGAGCTGGGAGATGGGCACATGGCA